GGGGGGGGGGGACGGAAGAGAGTTTTCTTCAGTTTTTGCTTTAAAACCAGACTTTTGTAGCACTGCTGCCCTTGGATCCATCTATACAGTTCTCGTTCTCAGACTGATCCTAGCCTAGAGGAAAAGATATCTGCAAAGCGAGATCCAAGTTCTGCACACCAACAGTAAGGGTTAGAAATGTTCTCAGTGAGGGTCAATATTTGCGTAGGAGTACTGAAAACTGCCGGACGTACATGCGAATGATCTCGCAGACCACAGCACTTTCTCAAGAAAAAATATGACACGACCAGACGGCCGCGAGGACAGTCACAGAGACGAGCGATTTCTTGCGGAAGATTCATCGGGGACCTGAAATTGCTTGAAGTGGCAGTAGTCCTAAGCAATAACTAGATCAACTTGACAGTGATAGGGAGCTGGATTTGAGTGGAAGTATCTATACGCGCAAAAAGAGAAGCCAATTATCGCGTTTTTCCGTACAGATTTCCTCGGCTTGCTCATTCTTTCCCAGTTTGTTTGTTTACTTTTTCCAATAGCCAGTGGCGCTGTTCTGATCACAGTTCAGGACGATTTTAACAGTAGGCAAAGACGTGAAGGCTACTGTACCACAGAGATGCCAGTAATATTGAGTCCGTGGGGATGAAATAACCTCATTACCCATGTTTGTTTATGCACTCTAAATTCTTCATCTGGTACTACATTAGAAAACGCCAATGAATTCAGTTTACGCACTTTACAGTCAGCAAACCATGCAAATATGAGGAGGCAGTTCAAGCCTGATGGGCGAGACATACTGTTGGTACTGCAGACAGTCGATGGGCAATGGTCACACCAGAGAGAACTACCAGTATAGCAAGCCACTAAGAAATGTCTCGTGTGTACAGTGCAAGCAGAGAAAACATGCAACACAGAAAAAACCGGCTGAGCATGCATCCCAGCAAGCGGATTTTGGTACCAAATTCTCGTACAGTTTTACTGACACCAAAAGTCAAAACCCCCTCCGTATTCCGCTTTCAATGAGAGACGGAAGCACTGGGGGAAGTAACCTGAATGATCACAAATGCCAACAGCAACCACTCACTGGCAAGGTTGTCGGAGGCTCCCTCTTCTGAGAATTATAAGCAAGCTGATGGCGGTTTACTAACATATGGCTCGTAATTTACCGCCTGGAATTTAGCCTGAAACTGCTATCAAAGCCGTAGAAAAAAGGGATTGAACAACTGCTTCAAGTCCACAGCTTCCGATGAAGTTGAAAATAATGACGGAATTCAAAATCTCAACTCTCTTGCTTCACAGTGTACAGCGATGTTTTGCCTACCTGTGTTGGACTGTACATAAATGGACCGTACTGTATGATAATGCACACAGACTTTTCTACAGGGTTTCGAACTGATGCATCGGTAGAAGCACTGAGTGCCGTGCCAAAGCGACAGTGTTGTAACCTGGTCTGTTTCAGGGCTTCACACCAGCAACCAAAGGCCAGGAAAGAAGTGGACGTCAGCGTTTGCTTAGGAAATGGGCGTTTGAGCTAACAACTTTTGGCGTTGCGGAACGCACACCGGCGGAAGTGGAGCAAAGACTGAGGTTACAAATAAGCACAGTTTTCCCAGTTTGGTATTTTTGAATAGTCGTGTTTCATCGTTGTGCATCGTATGCGATATGCCACAGTTTTTACGTATTTTTTGCAGCTATGCAATGCAGGAAACGTATACTGACGAAAGTTTGTCTGTGTGTGTATGTGCATGTGTGTGCGCGCGCGCTGAGCGTCTGTATCGATTTTTCATTTCGAGGCCTACAAAAGCTACGAGGCTGAAACTTTGGGAATTTAATCTACATGCATGTACGAGCCCCTGTCCCTAAAATGAGCGGTCTTACCCGCGTGATACCCACGTATGGGCCGTGAAAGCTTTTTGCGGGCAGGTCGCTAACGCGGAAACCAGAAAAGCTAGAAAGCTGAAATTTTAAGGGATGTTCCCCTTCCACGTAAGTCTTGAAGAGTTTCAAATCAGTTTTCGGGTACGCGTGGTACACGCGTACGCGCCTGCCGAAGTTTTTTCTCTGGTAAGTTGCTAACTCGAGAATCTGAAAAGCTAGAAAACTGAAAAATTAAGGGAATGTTCCCCGTCCACGTAGGTTCCAAAGACTTCATAGCCAACCCCGGGTATACGTGGTTCCCACATACGGGCCCGCCAAAGTTTTTTACGGGCAAGCTGCTAACTCGGGAACCTGAAATGCTGGAAAACTGAAATTTTAAGGAGACGTCCTTCGTCCACGCATATATTAATGAGCTCAAACACAGCCCCCGGTTATGCGTGGCTCCTGCGTACGCACCCCTGAAAGTTTTTTCGAGTAAGTTGCTAACTCGGGAACCTAAGAAGCCAGAAGACTGGAATTTTAAAGAAATGTTCCCCATCCCAGAGGGTATTAATGAGCCCAAACACAGACACCAGGCGTGCGTAGTACCCAAGTACGGGCCTACCAAGATTTTTTTCAGGTAAGTTGCTAACTCGGGGAACTGAAAACTGAAATTTCAAGAGGGTGTTTCCTGACAGTTCTGGCGGCCAGTCTTAATTTGTTTAGTTAGAAGCATTTGCCCGAAAAATCGGTGCCGGTAACGACAAAAACTGCGGGGAACTAGGCAAGAAACGCATCTTCGCAAACCCAAACCAGTAGATGTTGAAATAGTCTGAGCATGACTCTTGACCATTTTCGGGCCAGGTATACGTGAAAACAACTTCTACGCTCCCTTTAAATCTTATGTACGGGTATGTACATAAGATGGCGTCGACAATTGTTGCATAATACCTTACCGCCGCAAAAAAACAAAAGTGATACAATTCAGGATTAAAAAATGAATCTGAATTTGATGCATTTTTCTATTCGTTTAACTGGAAGTATTTGTGGGAAAAAACAACGCAACTTATTGACAATTATCTCCGGATAAAACTATGCAAAAAGGCATGCTCACACCGGCAAGCCTGTGCTTCTTTGTCTGTACTTGAGTACTGATTGTGGGGGGGGGAGTAGGAATTCTCGTTTTATATTAGATTGCAGCACGATGTGCCGAAGATCACAGACGTTACTGTTCCCAGTAACAGTGTGGGAGCACTTTTATTATTTGTATCTGCCGCTAAGCAATGGGAATGCCAATCAAACTGATTACAGGGACTACCTGAAAAAAATATCAGCGATTCGAAGGCGAAAAATAGGACCACGAGAAATGAGTCCGGCTTGTGCGCTGATCAATTCCGTCATATCGACTTCCCGGAGAGTGGAAAATGTAACGATAAATGACCGTATGACGGAGGCAGCCGGATTTCTGCTCCAGCAGCATCAAGCATACTACCCGGATTCCGCTGAGTTCGTTTTTTTAGCAAACGCTGGGCTCATTCTGCGTTCCTGCTCTATGAGAGTACATTGCTGGCTCTCTGCCA